TTTTTTTTTTTTTTTTTTTTTGCTCTTGTTGCCCAGACTGCAGTGCAGTGGCGTGATCTTGGCTCACTGCAACCTCCGCCTTCTGGTTTCAAACAATTCTCCTGCCTCAGTCTCCCAAGTAGCTGGGATTACAGGTGCCTGCCACCATGCCTGGCTAATTTTTGTATTTTTAGTAGAGACGGGGTTCCACCGCGTTGGCCAGGCTGGTCTCGAACTCCTGAACTCATGATCCACCCGCCTTGGCCTCCCCAAGTACTGGGATTATAGGCATGAGCCACTGCGCCCGGCCTGTGTCCCTTTCTTAGCCGGGAAACAGGGTGAGAAGGCAGTGGTTTACCAGAGATTACATAGTGAGGCTATGGCAGAGCTGGGCTTAGAATGCAGGTTTAGATGTATTTTTTCCCTACCTGTCTCTGTGGCTGCCTTTCCCTCTTCCCCAGGTCTTCAAAGACGCAGTTCCTCTCTTCCACCCCCAGGACTTGCCGGAGCAGCCTTACCTGCAGCCCCCACTCAGCATCCTGGTGATTGAGCGCCGGGCCTTTGGCCGTACAGTCCTTGTGGGTTCCCACATTGTCCCCCACATGCTGCGATTTATATTTCGGAGTCATGAGGATCCTCCTGAGGAGGAAGGAGAGATGGAGGAGACAAGGGATATGATGCCCAAGGGACCTCAAGGTTAGGAACCTTCTCCTTCAGGACCACCAGACAAAAGCGCCTCTGATTCCTGGTGGACATGGCTCCAGAGGGCCCTCCAGTGGGGTGTGGAATCTGACTTCTATTTGCCCAGTCTCCTCATGCTGCCATTTTCCCCCTCCCAGGACAGAAGTCCCTGGATCCCTTCTTGGCTGAAGCGGGTATATCCAGACAGCTCCTGAAGGTGATGGGGTAGAGGAGATAGATGGGGAAGGGGCTGGCAGTACTTAGGATGGTGCTGGGTTAGAGAGACAAAGTCTGTTCTTCCTCAGCCTCCTCTGAAGAAGCTCCCACTAGGAGGCCTCCTGAATCAAGGCCCTGGACTGGAGGAGGACATCCCAGATCCGGAAGAGCTGGACTGGTGGTCCAAGTACTACACGTCACTGCAGGAGCTCCAGGGGCAGGTGGGGGCAGAGAAGGGTCCCAGAGAGGGGCTGGGGTGTAAATGATAAAAAGAATGATATCTTAGCTGGGCATGGCAGTGCACACCTGTAGTCCCAGCTACTCAGGAGGCTGAGGCAGGAGAATCGCTTGAACCTGGAGGCAGAGGCTCCAGTGAGCTGAGATCATGCCACTGCACAACAGCCTGGGTGACAGACTCCGTCTCAAAAAAAACAAACAAAAAACAAGAATAATCTCATTGAAGGTGGAGCTCTACAGTTTTTCAGAGCTCTTCATTGCAGTCCTCTTTTCTTCACAATTCCAGAAGCTGGGGATTATTAACTGCATTATCTAGAGCTGTGTTGTCCAACAGAGATAATACGAGCCACATACGTAGTTTTAACTTCTGTAGTAGCCACATTAAAAAAAGTAAAAGGGGCCGGGCGCAGTGGCTCACGCCTGTAATCCCAACACTTTGGGAGGCCGAGGCGGGTGGATCACAAGATCAGGAGATTGAGACCATCCTGGCCAACACGGTGAAGCCCCATCTCTACTAAAAATACAAACAATATTAGCCAGGCATGGTGGCGGGCGCCTGTAGTCCCAGCTACTCAGGAGGCTGAGGCAAGAGCATGGCGTGGACCCAGGAGGCGGAGCTTGCAGTGAGCCGAGATTGGGCCACC